AGGTCCCGGCCCTCTCCCCCGCCCGGCCGTGTCCAGACTCTCGTTGGCCTCGCTGGGTGCCCCGAGTCTGTCCTTGGGCTGACACTGACTGACCATCTGAGTCTTCTGACTGCCCTTCACTGTCGCTGGTTCGTTGGCCTCGCTGGGTGCCCCGAGTCTGTCCATGGGCTGAAACTGACTGACCGTCTGAGTCTTCTGACTGCCCTTCACTGTTGCTGGTCTGACTAACGGTGGAGTCCCGATGCCTGCGCTCACTGGATGCTGATGAGGATGGTCCCTTTCCAGATCCTGAGTGTCTGGAGCCGTCTCCTGACTGCTCCTGACGGCTGCCTCGACTTCCCCTTGTGCTGGATCCCGAGCGTCCACGAGCAGAGTCAGACTGCGTGTGTGTGCTCGTCTGCCCTTGGTGGGACCCGGAGTGCCTTGTGCTTTCTCCTGACTGGCCGTGGGTAGAACCACGCTGGTTCCCTGAAGCGGACCCAGACCTTCCCTGGGTCACTGTGGATTGTCTGCCCGAGCCTTCCGATTGCCCTTCGCTGTCACTGGCCTGACTAATACTGGATCCCCGGTGCCCGTGTGTCCTGGATGCAGAGGGTGATTGTCCACGTCTAGTGCCCGAGTGTCTGGAGCTGTCTGCTGACTGTCTACGGTGGGATTCCTGTGTTGCTCTCGAACCAGAACCGGAGCGTCCACGGGAGGAGTCAGAGTGTCTACCAGTGGCGGTCTGACCCTCCTGCGACCCGAAGTGTCTCGAGCTGTCTGTGTCCTGCTCGTGGCGGGATGAATGTGTGCCTCTAGTGTTGGAACTGGAGTGACCCCTGGAGGAGTCTGCCTGCCTACCAATGGAGGCCTGACGCTCATGAGTCCCCGAGTGCCTTGAGCCTTCTCTTCCCTGGGATCCTCGCTTTCCTCCAGTGCTGCTACCTGAATGTCCTTGGGACAAGTCAGACTGCCTAACACTGGAGGTCTGACCCTCCTGAGCATTTGAGTGCCTTGAGCTGTCTCTGTCCCACCCGTGACAAGATCCTTGTCCTCTAGTGCTGGAGCCAGGATGTCCATGGGAGGAGTCAGTCTGTCTGCCACTGGAGGTATGACCCTCATGAGACCCTGAGTGTCCTGTGCTGTCTCTTTCCTGGGATCCACGTGCTCCTCTAGCGCCGGATCCAGTGTGTCCACGGGAGGCGTTCAGACTGTCTGCCGCTGGAGGTCTGGCCCTCCCGGGACCACGCATGTCTGGAGCTGTCTCTTTCCTGCTCATGATGAGATCCCCCTGTTCTTCTGGTGTTGGATGCAGAGTGTTCTTGCGAGGAGTCAGACTCAGTACAGTGTCCTGTGCTGTCTCGTTCCTTACTTTGTGGAGCATAACTGTCCCACCCGTGACGGGATCCTTGTGTTCCTCTAGTGCTGGAGCTGGAGCGTCCATGGGAGGAGTCAGTCTGTCTGCCACTGGTGGTCTGACCCTCGTGAGACCATGAGTGTCCTGTGCTGTCTCTTTCCTGGGATCCATGTGTTCCTCTAGCACCAGATCCGGTGTGTCCATGGGAGGCGTCGGAATGTCTGCCTCTGGAGGTCTGACCGTCCTGAGCGTCTGAGTGCCTCGAGCTGTCTCTCTCCCACCCGTGATGGGATCCTTGTGTTCCTCTAGTACTGGAGCTGGAACGTCCATGGGAGGAGTCAGTCTGTCTGCCACTGATGGTCTGACCCTCGTGAGACCATGAGTGTCCTGTGCTGTCTCTTTCCTGGGATCCATGTGTTCCTCTAGCACCGGATCCGGCGTGTCCATGGGAGGCGTCAGAATGTCTGCCTCTGGAGGTCTGGCCCTCGTGGGACTGCGCACGTCTGGAGCTGTCTCTTTCCTGCCCATGACTGGGTCCCCCTGTTCTTCTGGTGTTGGATGCAGAGTGTTCTTGCGAGGAGTCAGACTCATCAGCAGTGGCCGCCTGACCTTCATGAGACCACGAATGCCTGGAGCTGTCTGGTGCCTGCTCGTGGTGGGATCCTTGTGTTGTTCTCGTGCCTGATCGGGACTGTCTTTGGGCAGATTGTGACTGTTCCTCAGGGTATATCTGGTACAGGTGGGATTCTGAGTGTCCTGTCCTCTCCCCCGACCGGCCGTGTCCAGACTCTCGTTGGCCTCGCTGGGTGCCCCGAGTCTGTCCTTGGGCTGACACTGACTGACCATCTGAGTCTTCTGACTGCCCTTCACTGTCGCTGGTTTGACTAACGGTGGAGTCCCGATGCCTGCGCTCACTGGATGCTGATGAGGTTGTTCCTCTTCCAGATCCTGAGTGTCTGGAGCTGTCTCCTGACTGCTCCTGACGGCTGCCTCGACTTCCCCTTGTGCTGGATCCTGAGTGTCCACGAGCAGAGTCAGACTGTGTGTGTGTGCTCGTCTGCCCTTGGTGGGACCCTAAGTGCCTAGAACTTTCTCCTGACTGGCCATGGGTAGAATCATGCTGGTTCCGTGAAGTGGACCCAGACCTTCCCTGGGTCACTGTGGATTGTCTGCTTGAGCCTTCTGATTGTCTTTCACTATCACTGTTCTCTGTGTTACTTAATTTCTTGTGTGCCTTTCTTCTATATCCTGAGGATGGTTCTCTTTCACGTGATTGGGAATATTTTGAATTGTTTTCTTGCGATGATATTTTTTGACTTTCTTCTAGTGAATTGTTCTGGTATTTATTATTTTGTATTTCTGTATCTGAAATATTAAAATAAGCTTGTTCTTTCATGTAGTATGTGTCATCATCATCTCTTTCTTCCCATTTTTCACACATTGCTTTTTCATATTCAAGGTCACTTTCCTCTTTTCCTGCTCTCCTTGATATTCCATTCTTTCTTTTGTTTCTTCTGTCACCTTTTTCTGTTGAGCGAGACCTCTTCCTTTGTTTCTCACTTGGCTTTTCTTGTACTTTACCATCTTGTTTTTCATCTCTTTCAATTGAAGACCTGGAGGACCTTTGACCTCCAGTTGTCAACCCATGCCTTTTTCTTTCTCTTCCACTTGGACTCTTACTTCTTCGCCTACTCTTTTCATCACCTTTTCTGATTCTTTTTTGTTTTTCTTCTTTTGCCTCCTCTTCTGTCTTGTCTTGTTCATTTTGGTCATGGTGACTGTGCCTCTTCTTTGTTGGTCGTGATTTTGATATCTTCTGTCTTTTGGTAGTTTCATAGTATGCTTGAGCCAACTTGAATACCATCAGAAGGAATTCACTAAAATCTATTTTTTTATTGTGGTCAATATCTAGGATATGCATGAAGACATCAGCTGTATCTGGGTCATCCGGATTCTGTAGAGAATGAATCACAGAGGAAGACTTCATCAGATTGACTCATATTTCAGTAAGTAATTCAAATTTGATTTTTGGTATATGTGTGTTTGGTGTCAGTGAATGGTACTCAGTTTGTTAGCATGTTTTTTTTTTTATCTTTTTAAACCTCATTTTGATCACTTTAGGCATATAGACCAAATTATGAAATAGACAAAAGAATGAAGTCTTAATGACCTATATGCCATTAAAAGAAGAGTTAATGTGTTACCTGCCTCTTCTAATTTGAAAAGTCCATAATTAAATTATAATTTAAATATACCTTGTCTAAAATCTTGGTGGAGGAAAGAAATATTTTAAAGAACTATCTAGTTAGCATTTAGCTCTTTATAATTAAATTTTTGTCTGTTTTTCTTTCACAGAGCATGTTTCTCTCTATATGTGTATTGTATAGATAGGTATAAAAGAAATAGAATAAATTTTCCTTTTTTTGGAATAAGTCCAACTCTGTTTCTATTTTAAGGATATAATTTTCAAAAGGTTTATGATAATCTTGTGTTAGATTATGATAAAGAAGGGCTATACTGTTTGGTACTGTTTAGGAACTCTTACCTTAAGGATTGACTGAAACTCCCCTTCCAGAAGTTCCTTCAGCTCTTTTTTGCTCAATGTGTCAGTCTCTTTATCGTTTTTTGAATATTGGTTGAAAGTGTCAATGATGCCAATGATGTTTTCCATGAGGGTAGACATCTTTTGACAATCTATGTGAACCTAGAAAGAAGAAATAGAACTTTACTTTTGAGTACTTCTGTTCTTTTTCCTGGTCATATTAATTATCATAATGATTTTTTTTAACATTTTATACCTACATCCTCCTCAAGTAATTTATCTTAAAATTAGAAGATGGCCAGGAAAAACTTCCCTTTATAAAATATACAGTTAAAATGAAAATAATTTAACTGATTTACTAAACCTGTCCATTTCTTGCCCTTAAGCCCATTCATAACAGGATTTAGGTAATGTTAAAGACTTCTAGGTAAGGTCATTCCTCTTCTTGATTGGGCTCTTGCTCATAGTGATTTCAGAAAGACCTGCTGGTCATAAACAGGACAATTTTTTCTTATTAGTATGTTGCAAACTTCTTCACAGATCTAGATAAGACAATCAAAATTTGTCTGGTATCATGAAAGACCTCGTATTGCCAAAGTAATCCTTTGTAAGAAGAATGGAGTGGGGAACATCTCACTCCCTGACCCCAAAATATACTATAAAGCTGTGATCTTCAAAACAGCATGGTATTGGCACAAACACAGACATGTGGAACAATGGAACAAAATATAGACCCCAGAAATAAACCCCCAAACCTACAGCCAACTTATTTTTGACAAATAGTACCAGTCTATCCAGTGGAAAAAGGAAAACCTCTTCAGCAAATAGTGCTGAAAAAACTGGGTATCCACCTACAGAAAGATGACTCTGAACCCCTACCTCTCACCATTTACAAAAATCAAAGTGGACCAAAGATCTAAATCTAAGACATCAAACTATAAAACTGTTGCTGGAAAACACTGGGTAAACTCTGGGAGACACTGGGGTGGGCAAATATTTCTTAAACAAAATCCCCAAAGCACAGGCAATAATTCTCAAAATAGACAGGTGGAATTACATCAGATTAAGGAGTTTCTACACAGCAAAGGACACCGTCATTAGTGTGAATTGATAACCCTCAAAATGGGAGAGAATTTTTGGTAACTGTGCCTCAGATAAGGGACTGATATCCACAATACACAGGGAACTTAAGCAGCTTACCCAGAAGAAAATGATTAGCCCAATTAAAAGATGGGAAAATGAGCTGAATAAACAACTCTCGAAGGAAGACATATGAACAGCCAAAGAGTATAGGAAAAAATGTTCAACATCCCTCATTGTAAGGAAGATGTAGATTAAAACCACAATGAGATACTATCTAACCCCAGTCAACATGGTGAAAATTAAGGAAACAAATAATGATAAGGGGTGGAGAGGATGTGGTGAAAGGTGGACACTCTTACACTGTTGGTGGGAATGTAAATTGGTCCAGCCACTGTGGTGAATGATATGGAGGTTCTTCAAAGACCTTCAAATAAAACTACCATATGATCCAGCAATTCCACTCCTGGGTATCTACCCAAAGGATAGGAGAGCACTCAGAAAAGTGCTTGCACAACTATTTTCATTGCAGCATTATTCACAATTGTTAAGACATAAAACCACCCAAATTTCCACAAACAGATGAATGGATTGAAAAATTATGGCACATATACTCCATGGAATACTATTCAGCCATAAAAACAACAAGGTCCTGGAATTTGATAGAAAGTGGATGAATATGAAAGATTTGTTGCTAAGTGAAGCAAGTCAGGCTATGAAAGAGAGACATTGTGTGTCTCCACTTAACATATACCTACTCTCTACACTCTATGGTAGAGACTGAAAGACTGGAGAACATAAAAGCGTTAAACATTGTAATGGACACTAGAGACAAAGTGGAAAGAGACTGTGTGTGTGTGGTGAAGCATAGGGAAGGAAATTTTGGGGAAAAATGGAGAAGTAGGACACTTGTGGGACACAGGTAATGTTTTTTATCTGTTGACCAGGATGTGTATAATAGTCTTGACTGGGCTGGACTAAAGTGTATATCATACTGGGTGAAAAATCTCTTCACAATTTAAATGATGTATAGCGATTTAATATATGAACAATAATTTCAAAAATTAATAAAATAAAAAGAACAACCAATTAAGCACACAGAAAATATAATGAAGAAATAATAAAAGTAACTAAAAGTAATGAAATGGAAAACAAATTTAGAGAATCAACACAACTAAGATTTAGTATGAAAAATCTAACAAGTTAATAAAAGCTTCATGATTAACCAAGGGAAAAAAGAGCAAAGGCTAAGTAATCAATGTCATGAAAGTAAAAGGAAACATCACTATAGACACTAAAATAAGAAGATCTTTAACATAAAAACCTTTATACCAATCAACTAAAAAATTTAGATGAGGGAACCAGCAGTTAGCGTAATGGCTATGTCGCTGGACTCCCACGTAGTTGACCGCGGTTCGTGTCCCGGACCCGGTGGCTTAAAAACTCATGCCGGGCGCGTGTGCGTGCGTGCCCAAGATCCCGAGAGGAGAATGGAGAAGGGATTGCGGCGTGACCATCCCCCCTGGGGGGGTGATTTTTCGCTTTCTGTCTCTATGTCTCTGTCTGTCTGGCGAGCGCATGCGCCCTACAGTGAAAATCTCTCAAAAAAAAAAATTTAGATGAAATATAAATATTTCTAGAAAAACACTTTTTGCCATAAACAATGAATAGAAAACCTAAGTAGTGCCATGTTTATTAATTGAATCTTAAATGAATTTATTTCCAGTGTAGAAGAAACTCCAAGTACGATGACTTTACTGGTGAATTCTGTTCAATGTGTAAGAAAGAAATAACCCTAACATTACACAAATTGTGTCAGAGAAATGAAAAGGAGGAAACACCCATTTTATGAATCCAACATAACGTCAGTACCATAACCTGACAAGGGTATTACAAGAAACAAAATTCTGGGGACAATCTCTTTCTTACAAAGAGTTGCAAAAATCTAAAAGTAAATAATTGTAAACTGAGTCAAGTGTTAAAGAACATACATTACTCCTAAGTAAATTTTATTCTAAAAATTCAAGTTTTTTAAACATTTAATCAATTAACTGCTGATAAAGAATGACAAAAACGACATAAATATCTTAATAGATGCAAAAAACCCATTTGATAAAATTCAACATTTATTCTGAATTATAAACAAATTAAATAAATTTACCTATACAAACATTACAGAAGAATATATTTAATGATTAAATGTTGAAAGATTTTATCTGTAACTTTGGAAAGCAGACTATTATGCCTCTGACAACCTAATCAACGTGGTACTAAAAGTACTATCCAAAGCAGTAAGTTGGCAAAAATCATTAAAAATAGTAATTGGAAGACATAAAAGCATTAAAAATTGTTATGGACACTAGAGACAAAGTGGAAAGCGTGTGAGAAGGGAAGAACATGGGAAAGGAATAGAGAGGTAAGGCACTTGTGGGGCACAGATATGGTTTATTTGTTGATGAGGACGTGTCTAGTATTCTTAACCAGGCTGGACTGAGGTGTATATTATGCTGGGTAAAGTCTCTTTACAATCCAAATGATGTATAGCAATTAAATGTATAAATAATAATAATAATAATAATAAAAAATAATAATTGGAAGGAATTAATACAAATGACATTACTCATTAGAGATATGATTTTTGTATTTGGAAAATCCAGAATGTACAAGTAAATTACTAGAATAAAGTGAACAGTGTTGTACAAAAGACACCTGTTATTTTATTCAATACTAAGAAACAATTAGAAAAATGAAATAAAAAGGATACTATTTACAAAGGTATAAAAAATCAGAAAAATTTTAAGACTAAATCTAATGAAAGACATTAAGATCTGTACTCAGAAAATGATAAATGCTGGGGAAAATAAGAGTTAAATAAAAGAATATGCTTTGTTCGTGAATTGAAAATGTTGATATTGTAAGGTATCAAGTCTCTTCAAATTCATTATATATGCAATAAAATCCCAGAAGTTTTTAAAAATAAAGGTTGACAAGATGATTTCTAAGATATATATGAAAATGTGGAAGTCCAAGATTAAATGAAATATCCTTGAAGACATAATTGAAAGATATACCAGATAGTAAGGTGTAGTATGAGTGAAGATAATATGACGTTGGAACAAGGCTAAACAAATGAGACAATGAAAAGTAATCATTCAAAATCAGACCCATATCCCTTTGGATATTTGAATTATGAAAAAGATGGTACTACTGTTAGTAAGGAAAGGATAGTCTTTTGAGTAAATGATACTGACTTAATTGAATTCCTATATGGAAAAAATTAATCTCAGGTAGATTTTACATGTCAAAGATATAAGAAAATAACATGGAAGTTTATCTTCAAGATTTTGGGGAAGAGAAATACTTCTTAAATAGAATTAAGAAAATATTATTTATAAAGAAAAAGACTGACAAATTGGACTGCATTAGAAGTAGGACTGCCTGTTCATTTGAAGGTACAATTCAAGGAGAGAAGGGCAAGTCACAGAGTGGGAGGATATGTGTAACACATTAAGTGTAAAATATATACAAATTTAAAAATACCTCCTATAAATCAATTTAAAAATCCAAGCAACCCAATAGAAAAATAAATCTCTACCACAGCAACTTTACAATAAAGGATAGCCAAATGGCCAACATTTCAAAAGTCCTTAATCTTGTTAACCACTGGAAAAATGCAAATTGAAATTACAGTGTGAGATCACAATACACCTTCCAAAATGGCTAAAAAGATAAAAGGAGAGAGTAACTTGAGAACACCAAACGTCAGTGAGGGTGTGAAAGATCTGAATCTTTTATATACTGCTAGAGGGAACCTAAATTGGCAGAAGCACTTTGGACAATTGTTTCCAGCAATTACTCTTAGAAATGTTTCTAACAGAATAAATACACGTATATAACCAGTTATATACAAAAATGTTCATAGCCCCATTATTTAAAATAACCCTAAAATGGAACCAATTCAAATACCTATCAATTTAAAAAATGGTTAAATAAATTGTGATGTTTTAATAAAAATAGGGGTGGGAGGTAAGAGTGGTGGTCTGTACTACAATGGTTGTGGTGGAGAAGAAGAAAAATGGATG